TATATGTGTGTGTTTGTGTATGGATATACATATATATGTATATACATATATATACATATATACATATATACATATATATATATATATAGAAACATGTAAACAAATTGCTTGTCAAAGTGCGGTGCATTTGACAGACATGTATCGACGAATAATCTAAAAACCTCATATTAGTATCGCTAATTTTGGATCATTCTCAATCAAGATCGTTGATTTATCAAGGACAATAATGAAGGTAAGGGGCCTTCTAAAGTCATACTGCAACTGTACGTGTTAAATAAACACAGTTCAACGAAGAAAACAAAGAACAACTAAAAAAATATCACTGTGAAGTAGCACCGCACCCACTCAGACACATCATACAACTTAATCACCCAGGAACAGTGTACTCATCGTATAGAAATATCTCCAGACGCTAGCATACTATCATTATCACAACAGATTCGAACGCTTACAGACAAGCATAGAGAACGAGCGCACGTGACCATACCATCATACGGGTGACTGATCCAGGTTCTAAGCTCTTGACATCCAGTTGATCGACCACTAGTACATCGCGTCGTGCTTTCACCGTGAACTTGAGCTGTACAAACAGATTGGTCTTCTTCTTGTGCGGCTTTGTGCCGTTTGCCGTTTCTTCAGGTGCCTCCTCGGTGAAAATGTTTAGGGATAGCAGCGTAGTGTCGTTTTGCAGCACCTGTTGTGGTAAGTCATGCGTGTGTGTGTGTGAGGGGATTGTAGGCCTGCATCGCTGAACAGAAAGTGAGTTCAACGGCATATTCTATCATTTAACGAATCGGTATGTATTACTAATGCGCCCTGATTCGGTAGCATCTGTAATCTATTAAAACAAATGTCACTTTCGGTCACGCTGATTGTGATTCTAGTAATATCTTTTCGAAGACCGTGGGCGCTATAACCCCCTCGAATAACCTGGCAAATGCATATACAATGCACCCCCAACCATACCTTTCCTTTGAACTCCATTTCCGTGCCCTCTATAAAGGAAACTTTTGACTGTGCTAGTCTGCGCATAACACGTTTGCTCAGTTCCTTTTCGGCGAGCTCGTGCAGGTCTTTTACCGTGCCGTCTTTGGGCACTCTCAGAGAGAATGAACCATCGACGCCTTGTTTGATGGTGATGACACCGAACTTTCCTTCCTCTCCCGTAGAGATGGTGGGGGTGGGGGTGGTCTTCATGTTGTTAGGAGCAAATTGAGGATACGTCGGTGTTGAACGAACTGGCTGAATATGTCTAGGTGTTAACTGCTATGTAGGTGAACCCCAGATATTTTGGAATTTTAAGGTTTGACTTCCAACTATTGAAGAACAGTCACTGGCTGTTTGTTTTATATTATTTAGTATTTACTGGTTAGATCGGACTGATAACTAGTATTGTATTTGCAGGCACGTTACACACCCCAGGCGACTAGACAAGAGACAAGAGTATATAGGCCGTAAACTGACCAGTGCTACTACTTTAAATAGCGTAAATATAAAATATGAACGCTGACGCTCAGTGAATGCCACATATCGAGTTTTCTTTTTTTGTGGAACAAGTATTCAAAAACCAGTCAGTGTCAAATTGTCAATCTCCTAGAATATCTATCTCCAAGTATATCTATCTCCAAGTATATCTATCTCCAAGTATATCTATTTGTTTATTTTATCCGCGCGGTAAAAGTAGTTGAATGCAGTTTTGAACTTTTGTCCGATAAAATACTGTGCAAGCTAAGGACGATGTGACTTCCTCCAGAGCATTGAGCAATAGTTGTTGGAGAATGAGTACAATATTTGTGATTTTGTATGTACGGCTATTTGAGAATGTGTAAAATATTTTTTTCAATGTGTAGTACAGTTATTTTTAGTATTTAACCCCGGTAAGTTTTAAAAGTAACTTGCCACTTTACCACTTGTAGCAATGTCTCCCACTGTCCCTTGTCCCAGTCTCCCACACCTACTGTCCTACTAAACCCACCCAACACAGTCCACAATCCACACTCCACAGACCACAGTCCAAAGGCTCCACACTCTCGCAAGTCACAGACTCAAAGTTCCCCAGGATTTCAGGACCCCAGTGACCAGCCCCCGGCCCCGGGCCCCAGGAATGGGCCAGTCCAAATGTAAATAAACAAATAATGTCAATTCGTTGTGCACCCGAGTGACCCGACAGCCCGACGTTCGATTGCCGTTTGCTTGCAATAAACGTTCAGCACAAACGTACAAATTACTTTTTTTTTTCACCTTTTAATTCGTTTTCTTTAAAATAAAACAAAAACAAAAGGGGGAAATTAGAGAGAATCAGTTCACATATAACCCTCAAGACCGGCGGGGAATTTACTATGGAGGTTGACCCAGATGTATATTAAAAAATGCACCCCATTGATCATTAAATAGGTCAAATTGTTCGTATTGACGAGTAATAAACACATAATCTCATCACGATCGGACTATTGGTTAAAAGTTACAGAGATTTGGTTTGTACCAGAGTTGGGTCAATCTAGCCAAACATGAGCACTATATAGGTCCTTTCACACCTATCCGACATCCTTGGAATCAAAGTATGTTGCTCCTATACTCTTTGGGATGAAATATGTCCGTTCATAGCACCTCTGGACATATCTATCGGGTATTTCGTTTCCTTCCTGGTACAATTTGTACCAGGATGGAAATGAGGTCTGAGCGGCTGAGCCTCTGAAGTCTGAGACTCTGAGGTCTGTGACTGAAGTAGCGGGTGCTTTTTTTTTGAAAATATTTGAAATCTGTGGCGTTTAACTGCACAATCCTGATCACCAATCAAATTTGGTCACAGGAACCAATGGAAACTGTTGTGATCGCCATCCTCGCATAACAATATAGAAACCAGTTTCAACCTGTTGCACCGTTCGCTCATTTCGCTTCCGCTATAAATCGACACTTGTTTTGTTTTTGTTTTTTTAGTAAAAAAATACAATACAAATTCTTTCAGTGTCTCTGAAGAGAGTCAAGTTACAGAACTGCAGTCTGCACTCTGCAGCACGGCTGCAGTCTGTTAGAATTTTGACGACATGAGCGACAGACTGACAGTGTCCACTGTCCACTGTCCAGAGATGATTCTCATCACTCATCGAGCCATTTGTGATCAGTCTCAAGATAGTTCTCAACAACACAATAGAGAGACTGTGAATTTCTTGTGTGAAGTGTGAAGACAGTGAACTGTGAAGTGGGAATTCGAACTTTCGAAGTCTCGAACCCCACACTGGGACCTGGGCCACACAACAAGAGAAGAAGGCTGAAGCCTGAAATAAATAGGCTGGTTTCGCCACCCGCACAAGTCCACAACAATGTTTTTTTTGTTTTATTTTATAAATGAAACGGTTATTGTTTAATGCTATATTTAGAACTTCTGAGAGGAAGCCTACGGTCTACGCAGGCTGGCTACGCGCAGCTACGAGCTTCGAACTAAATAACTTCGAAGTAAAATAAATACGAACTTGAGTCTTGATGTTCGAACGAAAATGTTTATTTTGATTTTTTTGTTAACCCCTGGCCCTGGGGGTGGGGTCCCTGTGCAGCTGTGCTGCCGTGACCTGTGGCTGTTGGCCGTTGCTGCTCCTGCCTCCTGTGTTGTTGATTTTTAAATTTGTATCAAAAAGCTGCATCAACCTGTTGAGAACCAGAGCCGGCGCAGGTATTTAAAAATTATTTATGTTAATATTAGCCAAATCATTTCAAATCTATGAATTTCCTATTTCCACCACTGAAAGTGACTGATCACGGCACACAGATCCCAAAATATAATTAATTTGTTCTGACCCCCTACGAGTTACTACGCCAAAGTCCAAACGCTGCGAACGAAGTACAAACTCTCTCTCACGTCGGGTGTACTATGTATTTATTGATTTATGAAAATGAATGGCTCGGGAGACTACGGTTGTTTGGGGTATAAAAGCAGACAAAACACGGCGATGGCACCACAGTCAACCGAACGCACAAGTATCTATTCGTACGGCATTGTCAGCAATTGTATTGACTCTCGATAGTAAAACTACTATTTACCTATATAAAAATATATTGCTTTAACTGCAGCAACGCACGTCACAATGACTGCCGACAAGCCCGAGAACATTGGCGCCACAGCCGACACTCAAACTGAAGAGAAAGAGCTTCGCACGTCCAAGCTCTCCGCTGAACAACAAGCGGCTGTGCGTATCCAAAGCACCAAACGCAGTGACAAAATCCGACAGATCTCGCCTGACAGCTTCAACCCTGCTGCCCATTTCTACCCCCGTGTGCTCAACGCTACGGTACATCCCATGGTGGCTTCCTTTATGAACCTTTCCAACAAGCAGATTGTGAAGCGATACACGCACCTCAATCCCAAGACAGACAAACAGGCCCTAACCGAAGCGCTTGCGTACATCCCCAAGTATCTGAGATGGGCAGGCGCTGATTTATTTCACGTTACTAACGAGAATGGCAAGCGCGAGATGTTGGTAGTAGAGACCAACAGTTGCCCCTCGGGACAGAAGTCTATGCCTCTGGTCAATGAGAACGAAGAATATGGTGGCTACAAGGTGATGATGGAGCATGCGTTTGTGCCCATGCTAGAGAAAAAGCGCATTGAAGACCCCGATTCATACGTAGAGGGAGGATGCTTGGCTGTAATCTACGATAAGAATCTGATGGAGGCCTCAGGCTACGCGTCAGCCATGGCTACAGTTTTTGATGAAAAGGTTTACCTGGTAGAAATCCGAGACCAGTTTGGACTAGAAGCCGATATTAGCGACGAGAAGTTGAATGAAATCCGCTCATGCAAGTGGGTCGATGGAGTGTGTTACGTGCGTGCGGGGCGTGTAGTGGTGCCTAAAGGTAAAGCGTCCGCCGATGCCGAACCAGCCGCCACTGTGGCTAAGGTAGATGAAGAGAAGCCTGAGTGGGTCGCATGCAGAGCTGTGTTCAGATATGTAACGTCGCGACCATGGAACCGTATCCCTATCAAGGCTCGCACAGTCATCTTGAATCCGGTGATTGTCTGTCTTGCTGGAGGCAGAAACAAGACCGTCGCAGCTAAGGCTTATGACCTGTACAATGCCGAACTCAGGCCGAACGGTTTCAACATCACCGTCCCCGAAACAATCCGTAAGTCTTGCAATACATTTACATGCACCGCTAAACTGTGTTAAACGATAGTTATCTACTGATCTATTGATCATAGGTATATTATTTACGTTTGCAATTTATGAATGTGAGTGAAGGTAAGCCCAACTATTGCACTGAGCCCTTACCCCTATCGAACCTTGTTTAAACACGAGTATAGCCCATTTTCCATACTCGCATGTATCTCATTCCCGCAACTCTCCATATTCTCTACCCGCAGGTGATGTGGCATTCGAGGACGTCCCCACATGGGTGCAGTCGTTCGGTGGTCGGGCAGTGGTGAAGAACCCGTACTCAAACGCAGGGCAAGGTGTCTACACTATCACCAACCAGGGCGAGCTCAACGACTTCATGGCCATGGACCACCCTTACGGCCAGTTCATTGTGCAGCAGTTGGTAGGTAACACTGAGTGGTCGTCGATCTGTCCCGGACGTTCGTTCTACCACGTGGGCACCATGCCAAAGAAGGACTGCAAGACCTTTGTGTTTGATCTGCGAGTCATGGTGTGTGGCACAGAGAAGGGCTTCCGACCGGTGGCCATGTACGCACGAACAGCCGCCAATGAGCTGGCTGATAAGCTGGATGAGGATACCAACTCATGGGGTATTCTGGGTACCAACTTGTCCGTACGCTCTACAGACGGCACCTGGGACTCTGAGACCGAGCGCCTGTTGCTACTAGATCGCAAGGATTTCAACCGCCTGGGTATTGGGTCTGATGATCTCATTGAGGCGTACATCCAGACGGTGTTGGCAACCACAGCGATCGATAAGATGTGTGCGCGTATGATGGAGGAGGATGGAGCACTGAACCTGTCTATGTTCAGGACGGTCAACAACGACGATGCACTCGTGGCAGAGATTATGGAGGGCAACCCCGGCCAGTGGTAACTGCACGATATATTTGTAGGCAAATACGTACGTATGTATATATTCAATAGTGAGATACAGTTAAGTTTCTATGTTTGTGTAAAACATACAAGTACTGTTTGGCACTAAGGCCAATGTTATACATAGTGTAGTGTATCCTGGGCTGCTGTCAGCCACATGGTATGTGCGTGATGCGGCATCTGATACACACGACATGACAATAGTATATATGAGACAATATTAACAGTCTTGAGTAAAATATTAGCGAAGAACAAGATTGAATGAAAGGAATGAGTAATAAAAGAGATGAGTTGGCAGCCAGTATTAGACACACGTGTTGCTTATGATTATTTCTTCGGGCTGGCCCAGGCTATAGCATATGGCGATGATAGTTTAATAGTATTCTACATGAACGGCAAATGTATATGATATTGATAACTACTACAAATATTCCCCTGAACCCAATTGGCACAGAACAAATGAGCTTCAGATATCATTCTGACTTCCTTCAGCGAATTCGATATTTATAATCTCAGTGCAGACTGAAGCCCCCAGCACTGTACAATCAGTGCAATTTTGGGGAGCCTCTACGCTGGCATTTCCTACTTTAAAGACACTTTGAAACACTCGCTGCTGTAGCAAACGGTCTATCAAATGAGAGAACTCATATATTAGCTGCGGTAGAATATCAGATACCTATCATAAAAATGAACTAATAAACTGACCCCGATCGGATGCTACATTTACGACGAGTACATTCCCTTTCTACTGTCTTTTGGTGTTTAGTACACACTTATAAATTATGAAGCTGCTATTCAGATTCTATCGGTTTGACAAGCAGTTTTGAACTAAATTCGCCTGTTGTCGCCTGCCTGCTTTAATTGTCTTGGCGTTTAGGACATGATCACGTCGCCCATACTATATTATAGCCTTTTTTAAACATTCTTCTTTTTGGGTTTCAGCAGCTATATATTCCGTAAGGAACCAAACGTATTCTCCAACCCGCTCTTGCCACTCTTACTATAGTGAAGTATACAACAGACATCAAAACAAGAATGAATATGTGTGAAAATTCGAGAACCGGTGTTGGGTATGAGCTCGTGCTTACAATAGGGTCGCATATCGGCCATTTATTTGTGCTCAACACAACTTAGCTACGAATCCTACCTGCTCTATTCTTTAGCGAGATTTCTGCAGACAGAATCGCAACATATAATTATCTCATAATTACATCATCTTAGTAGCATAGGGGGTTAAGTACTTATGCTGAGCATGGAATCAACTTCGGGAGAAGGCCTTGGGAGAAGGGCACGACAAATTGTATCAATTAATTGTATCACTTTGCTGGAGCATATCACAACGCATCTCACATCTCGCATCTCTGCTATTGACCACTGCCCTGCTCCACATTTTCCTTCGACCACTTGTGGCATTGTCGTACATGCAATTATATCACTATAAGAATAGCCCTGGACATATGATGCACAGACCTAGTCCCATAATGCACGGTTCTGCGGTACTTCACTCGCGTCGGGAATGGATCATACATAAATACCTGTGAAATGAAAAATATGTTCTTTCTGTGCACACAACAACGTTTATGATCATTGTTTTACTCTTCGTCCGCAATGGTAGTTGAGCAAGCACAACCATTTTTAGAGGGCATTTGCTAACAAGTGCCCTCCTAAACCTGTAGAGACCTAAGTTCACATAGAAGTTCCTATTATTAGTAAGCATATGTATACACGACTGAGTACGAGTGTTCACGAGACAACATCGAGAATATATTTCAGTAAAAATATTTGCATACTCTGCTCCAAGAATTCAGACCGAAGAATTCGCGCGCGAATACTCGGTGTTTTATATTGTTCTATGTATCTCACGCTCGTTTGTTTTTTTTACGTCCGAGGTATATTATTTGCATATTTACTAATGATGACATGGCAAACTCACTGGTGCATACCATCCGAATATTGGCGAAACACTTAAGGTATAATTAACCACTCAGACCGTGTTACCTTGTGACACGCACACTGCTAACCGCTGACGAGAGGATAGTGTCTACAATACACACACCACTTCTGAAAATAAGACTATTCACTATTATAGAACACTACAAAAGGACACGCTGCGCTCGGATGTAAGGAGCTCCAGAAGGACGGAACACCATCGTCTAAGCCAGCACAACAGCAGACGATTGGAAAGAAAAATTAAAAGTAGCAAAACTTATTTCGGCTCGAGAGTCTTAAAGAGTCTCAATTAAAGACCTGATACAGATGTACGCCCATGTGCACTAAAGATTACAGCCAAGCGGTGTGTGTTGTAGATGGGCTCTTTGCGAGTGATACATTACGAATGAATGAGGTAGTTAGTCCAATCAACATATACAAAACACAAAGTAGACAGCCAGACAAGTGTTTGAGATATTGAACTATGTGCGCGACAAAAGTAAAAGATTGACGGCGTTCCACTACGCCTTTTGTATATTGTATCGATCATAAAATCGACAAAAACTCCCGCGCTGAATGCACAACACTGGTTGGAACACAAATAGTGTCAGGGCTGAGACATGGTCGGAGATAAATAGTGTGTGTTCGTTGCCTGAAAACAAGAGTGTCAAATGGACTACCTATGGACGCACAAGCGATTCGAAAGCTGTCCTGAATTATTGTCTCTGGTCAAATAGAGAATGAGATATATTGTTAATCCTTCGAACTGAAATTTGAAATTGAATCGAGGTGCACGTCGCATGAATTCATGTGTGTACTCTAAATAATAGTACGTGAATATGTTCACATTCTTATAGGTATAAAGACAGATACATCACCACGATTGTCGCTGTGGTACTATCGCGATCTATAATATAAATGCAAAGGAGGCGACATATTTAAATAAAAATAAATGATATATTTCGCAGAAGTTCAGAAGTCCGAACCCATTCCGATTTTATAATATTGTCAAAAATAGCCGATGAGGTCACACAATCGAAGAGTACATAGAACCTTTTTTTGCTCTCATCTAATATTTATATCCGAGAAGTCAAAAAAAAAGTGATATGTATGTACGTACATATATTTCAATATTTGTATCGTGTACACTGTACAGAGTACACACGACACACTACACACTACACACGACTACACACGCTACAGTAAATATATTTGTGTATATTGTTTCCATTCGTTCAACTAGTATACTTCATACCACCGCTAACCACGATACAGTGACAATGAAAACAGCGAAAGTAAGCTTGCAGGATGAATCCGGAAGAAGCGAGGTGAAACATGTCAGCTTCAATCGCGTGAAGCAAAGACAGTCGACTGATCACACGAATATACGTCAAGTGCAGTGGCCCGATGTCCTGCGGGGGAGTGCAACTCTCTCTCTGGGACTACTGAAGACAGGCTGCACGTATAAGATGCGGTTTACGTTTGGCTGTCCGAGCGAAGGTGACTCCATACTGTATAGTGTATTTGCACGGTTGCCTATATGGTGTATACCTATCTGAGTGCATACAAACACAAGTGCATGCACACAACTACGCGTGAACGCATGCATAGTATATTTTCATGCGAGTACATGCATCCTGTTCACGCGTGCTTTGTTACTGGATATGCGACAAATGTACTTGTGGTGTGTTTGGGCAACATGAAGTGCCTGTTCAGATCGTTTGCAATGACGTGTTATAGGACAAAGATGTATTCGGGAGTAGTATAGTGTGAACAACAATAGATATCAGTGGCTCGTTATATCTTTGTACTTTTAACTACACTATTTTTACACAGTGACACATGCCGTTTATATATATATATATATATACATATATATATAACGTATTTATATATATATATATGTATATATTATATTCTATTGTATTATATACATAAATGTATATATATAGGTATATATAGCCCTATATATATATATATATATATGTATATATCTATGTATGTATGTGGACACGTATGTATGCGTGTGCATATATATATTTGTATATATATAT